ATCTGGACTTGTCTCAACAGGAGACATAATTCATCTGTCTGTATTTAGTGTCTTCAGTCCCGAGAGCACAAGCTAACATAGAGCTGCGGTTTGGTTCATAATGTCCGATGTGGCCCTTTTGTGCTGTAATGTGTGTTGTGCTGAATGCCGTGCTTTCTGTTGCGTGCTGTAGAGCAGTGTTTTGTTTTCAATGGTGAGTAGTGTGTTGTGTGTTGTAGTGAGATGTGAAGTGTGTTGTGCTGAATAGTGAGCAGGACGCAAACAACAGCCATGGCCCTTCATTCCCCATTTAAGAGCTTGTCACCATTACCACGGCAACAATACGGCCCCGGAGCGCGGTTAAGACGCCCGGACGAAACGGGAGATAAGGAGGAAGGATGAAGAGGAGCTATAGGCCTTGAGAGCTGCTCTTATCTGAAAAGAGAGACAGAGGAGTATACAGAGGGACAGTGACGGAAGAGAGGGGGAGATGGAGCGAAGTCTCGGGGATTATGGGTGGTGTAAATGTCACCGATGGGCTTCTTTCAGCGCCTCACACTCAGATCTTCTCTTGTGTGTGTCGCAGTGTCAACACCAGTAACTGGGTTAATGAAACTGCCTGGCTGTATTCTCATTCGCATGTTATTCGTCCTAAATAGTATGCAAGATTAAAAATGTAAGTGCACTGGGTTTTTTAATGCTTTTTAGAAAAATATACTTATGGTGGCGGGCATTTGTGGCATTCTCTTTATTGATTTTTTTTTTTAATGTATGAAGCTAAAAGTTAATTACATGCATTAGTTGTGTTGTCAAAACTAAAACTGAAATTTTAAAAATGTGATGCTTTGAGCACTGTTGAGCAGAATCATAAACACCTCTGATTGGACATTGTGTTCATGCGCTCCTCAGAATTGTCTGTGATTGGCTACAATGATCAACGCACAGGAGCTTTTGAGAGCGCACAGAAGTGTTCGAAAGCGCTTTGAAAGCACAAGCAGGCGACGGTCCGCTGATAGATGCCTGTTTTTAAACACTCCCGTGTGTATCCGTGTAAGCACTCGGTAAAACATTATTAATAGCATGTTTTTGAAGCGCTGATCATTTTTAGCATATTTGATGAGCGTCTGAGCACAATGGCCAATCAGAGGTGTTTACAATTCTACTCAACAGTGCTCAAAGCATCACATTTTTAAAATTTCAGTACCAACGTGGGTGTTTTTGACAACACTAGCAAACAGAATGTACATAACAGTACGTGGGTTTAGTGATATCAAAATGCATATCGTCAGTGAGTGTCTATTCTAATATGCTGATTTGCTGGTTCATGTTAAAAACTGTTGTGCTGCTTTAAGTGATACAAATATTAAAGGGATAGTTTGCTATGTAGCTTACCTCAAGGGCATCCAAGATGTAGGTGTCTTTGTTTCCACATTATTTTTGCATTTGTGTGCAACATTTGTGTGCAAACAGTGGTGTTTTTTGTTTCTGGGATTCTTTGATGAATAGAAAGTTTAAGTTCAATATAGAGAGATGTTCGTAGATGGATGTCTAGCATCCTAAACACAGATACTGGCTGTGCATGCTGTAAAAAAATAGTATTAGAATGCCATTCTGAGTAATATGCATTATGCAATGCTTGTTGTATCTTATTCTAAACATTTCTCTTCTCTCTTACCCCCCACACTGCTCTTACCCCCTTCATCTTCTCCTTGAGAGCAGGCAAATATAGGGCAGGATAAAGCCCAGGCCTCTGGCAAAGACCCAACAGAGAGAGGGGAATGTCAGCTACGGAATTCGCGAGAGCCTCGCTAGCCTGGAAAACAACAAAAGAATCGAGATGATCAAAAAAAAATTTACATTGCAATTCCAACCGTACTTTATGTAGTCTTGAATACTGATTCGGCCTCTTCTGTGGAGCTGCTCTTTTATTCGTCCGTCTCAGAACGCGGCGTGTTGTTTACAGTGTGGCGGCAATGCAAGACGAGCTAAGAGCGACCTAAACCCCAGGAAGTCGGGGGGTTAAAATAAGGTTAAGAGAATTAGACGCTTTGTTCAGTTACATATTAATGGATTCATTGTCACTGGCTTGGCGGCGCATCCGCAATTAAACACTCTTATTCATGGCCCTGAGGCCGAGTGTTAAGTAAATCTCCGCTAGCCGTCTTTTCTTTGAGGCGCCTGGCTTTGCGCTCAATAACCGGTGAAAGGGAAGACATGCTTGCTCATACGATTATTCTGAATATGTCCTGATTTGAATGCTGGGAGGAAAGTGGCTCACGGCGGGCTTTTGAGAGTGGGCGCCGTCAGGAAAGAGCCAAATGAAAGACAGGTTTTAACAGGAAACGACACACAATTGGGGACACTTCCCAAATGCACATGTTTAGAAGGAGAATGAAATGCGAGTTTGTACCGAGTGTTATCTTGAAAGGGCTTCCTGAAGGACTTATTTTGTTTGGCACTGATCTGTCTGCAGTTAAGGAATGCTAACAATAAACCAGAGGTTGAATCTTATTCTGTTAGAATTTGCTTGGCTACACATCTATACGTTTAGTTTTTAATCATTGTGGGGTTTTTTTTTTCTTCAAAGCAATTTACAGTCGCTTTCAGTTCTTTGGGAAGCCGAATTATAATGTGCCGATATCCAACAGGTCATGCATCTAGGCTGCTAACTAGGTATTCATGCACCAAAATTAAAATTCTTGGCCGAAGCCGAAAACCGAAAAAGAGGAAACCAAGGCCGAAAACCGAAACACCCAAATAAATTATGCCAATTATTAGTACATTGCATTTATGGCTATGACTGTGTACAAACTTTACTAAAATCAAGGCATTGCAATTGCATAAATTAGTATAGCATTTTCAAAGAATAAATCAATTACAAATTATGCAAATACTGTATTTATTTAGCACATTGCAACAATGCACAGTATAAAATAAAATTCAAGCTAAAATGTTTAACTTGACCCCACTCATGTGAACAGTACATTAAATAATCTACTGGCCTGCAGAGAGTTTTTTAAAATAAATGTCCTCTCATAAAAACAAAGCCAAGCACGAACTTCTCATCACACCAGCACCCAATTTGCATGTCTAAATTAGTTGTTTACATTTTAAAAAATAAGATTATTTTTATCCTATTAAGAAAAAATTATGCAAAGGTGATCTTTTAGACACTGGCTTGATTTACAGATGCATAATCTTTTCTTCTTCTCATGTCACCATTCACTAATGAAACAAGGACGTTTTTAGAAACTTACAGGGTATTTTTTATTATATAACAAACTCTTAACTGTTCATTAACTTAATTGTGAGTTAATGACCCCTTTAAATAGCACTTCCTCTTTTGTAACATGAGATTTTGGTCAAACAAAAGAAAAAAACAGTGCCCACAAAGCTACAGAAATAACCTGTAGTTTGATGAAATGTAATGCGATGTATTTACTGCCTCAGATGCGTCTGCTCTAATGACGGATGGACAAACATAAACATAAATTATAAGGATAATTATCACTGCAATAATGATAGACTCTTAAGCATTTGCCTATTTAAATCCAAGCAGTGACATTTTTTTGTCCAGGCAGTGAATAATGCAACTGTCTAAAGCCACAATGTGAACTTTGACTTATTTAAACATACTACATGTTTCCCCCCGGCAGCTCTCACAGCTTTTAAATACAGCCAGAAACATTGTAATTTCAAGTTAAACACACAAGTATTGTTGAAACTGTTCAGTAGGAACTTTATAGACACGACTGTATGACTTCCTATTACAATTTAACTTCCTAAATAGCTGCTTTGGAACAATGTGATTGTGTGAAAACGCTTCACAAATAAATATGACCTTACTTGTGATTCAATTTAAATGCTGTATTTCAAGGCATGACAGAACTAATGCAAAGAACTGAAAGACAATTTTTTCGTATTGCAAATTTTAACTATTTTATTGAAAATATGGTATATATTGGTATAATGTACCAACAATCATTTTTTAGAATATACACTTTATTGCATACCATAAATATAACCTGTAGTTCTTGTTTTCAGTAGATTTCAAAATGACTGATTTCTCACCTTTTTTATGCAATGACAGATGTTGGGGTGTGTTTTATCTTATCTAGGGGGGGATATGAATGTCTTTTCCTTGAGTCATTCACATAGCGCTGAAAAGACAGCAGTTTCTCCCGGAAGTCAGAGGACAAGGGCTGTCTAGACTGTATGTACAGTATATATAAAAATATATACATACATTATATATATATATATATATAAAAATGAAAATGTATTTCCGAGAAAAACGCATATAATCTTATATTTGGATCAAAACGATATATTTACAAAGAAAGTCTAAAGAGTGCTAGTTCTAGAAACTCCATTTAAACTTCACAATCTGGGTATGGTGTAGACAATTCGCCTGAATTGCTGTCACATATACTGTACATAAATGCATGTTTCCAGGGGGAATATTTCACCGTCACACCACAGGACATTTCTTTCGTGTATTGTAAATCCGTTGTCAGAATAATTAAGTGCGAGACACCCAATACAAGAAGAGTACATTAACCGATCTTATCTAACCAATTCTGTCTTTTTGTCCACAATTAGATGCTACTAGGGATTTACTGAGGTTTCTTTGTGGTTGACATATCTAAACATTACATTTCCTGCGCATGAATAATGCCTTGTGCTCTTTGTATTGTTTGGGAGCAATGAATGGAGTCCTCTCAGGTGCACATTGACATTATGTCGTCTGGATGCTGCTGAGCTTTTTGTAACGTGGGACTCCATCCGATCAGGACGAGAGATTGTGTGACCAAAATATTAGTGTCAAGAGACTCTGCGAATGTGTAGGCGTAAAGGTCCAAAGAAAACATTCTTCGAATTCTAGCCGGGTTTTACTGGGGGCTCTGTTAGTCCGTGAGCATGCATGTGTTTTTAATTTTGTTCGTAGAGCATCGCAGCCTCTATCTGTTACCGCACAGAGCGCTCACGGTCTGTTTGTGTGTTTTCTTTATGTCCCGCAGGTAGAGGAGGCCGGGAAGGCGTCTCTGTTGCAGCACCCCCTGCAGGTGGGGGATGAGGTGGTCATAATTAATGAGGTGGAGTTGAGTGGATGGAGGCAGGAGGCCATATCACTCGTTAAAGGATCTTACAAATCACTGCGGCTCACAGTGAGAAGGTAAGACCAAACGCAGTTCACTTATTATTTGATTTATTTACACTAGTGATCACAATTTTGAGATCTGTACGATTTTTTTTTTTTTTGGAAGATCATTTTCTGTTCGTCAAGGTTATTTAAAATAGTTTATTGACCGCAGAGCTCTATATCCTGAAATTGCCCTTTTTGTTGATCATTTTCAAACACTCTTGGCTAGTGCAAGTCTTTCCTCATTCACTCTGGTCATGAACTTTGCTCCAACTTCATGACCAGTGGTTTATATGTCTAATAGTTCCTGCTCTGAAACTGAACTGGATGATGTTTGAAGCTTTTATAAAATATACCAGAACATTATGTGGATGCTATATTAATGCACCAAGTTGCTAATAACCATACAGTTTACATAAATATAAGTAGATTTTTACATTTTTGTTGTGGCGCCTGCCCATGCAAAACTCATTCCCACAATGCTAGAATTTGCAACACATTTCTGTGTGGTTTCTAGGGTGTTGGAGGATAAGGTCTGTGGTGAACACAAGTAAAACTGCTCTTTATTTGTCTTGTAAAATGCAGTTGCTAACATGTGGCTAAATGGGACTACAGGGTCATTAAACATCATCAGCCAAACAGATAAACTCATCTACTCATTTGCTTTCGCAGCCTCGTTGTGTTTTTAATCATACTCTGTCAAACTGTTATAACTCAACCAAAAAACCCTGATACATTTAGTCTTTTTTCACTTAGCGTTCACACTGTCATTTTTAACACCAAACCTACAGATGCAAAAAAAAGAAGGCTTTTCTGACATATATTTTGTGACAAGAACATGTCGAACATCCATGAACATCGCTGTATGTGAATACATTTGATTGTATATGATGGAGCTGAGAACTCGTGAAGGGCTTAAAATGTGTAAAAGAGGCAAACCAGCTGCAGGAATCCCTCCGTCACACATACGAGTAAAGATCTGCTGCGAGGAAACGCGGTTCTGATACAAACCATGTTTCCATTCACCATCTCAGAGTCACACAGCTGCCTTATAACAATCAGCATCCTTAGAAACAGGCCTGGGGTGGGTAATCGGGAAAATCGGGAGAATTCCCGGTGGGCCCCTTCCAGGAGGGGCTGAAAAAGCCAGGTTGAAAAAAAAGAAAGGCATTGGAGGAGGATGCTGCCAAATGTGCTAAGTTTACAGATTTATTTTCAAGAGGACAAACACAACACAAGTGGCGACAGGTAAAGAGAGATAGGCCTAGTAATGATTAGCATTTGCAACGCTGCAACGTAATTATTCGGCAAATACCAGTGTAGCTTTATTATTCACAACCTATTCACAAGCAAAATATTAAATGCAATTAAGGCGAGACACAGCAGGCAAAAACATCGTTTTTTACTAGTCAATTTTGAGATTTTGGGATATTTGTCTTCTTTCAGAATAGTCTGAATACACATTTAGGTCTTTATACTACATTTTGTCTGTTTGCGTCTGTAGATTTCTCATAAATTCATAAAAAGTTGGTCTAACTAACGATCTAAATCATCCCGCTGCTCCGCGATCGCTGTCTGCACCCTGTCAAAGCTCTCTCTCTCTCTCCTGTAATGCTGTCGGATCCAAATATGGTCATTTCCTTTTTATCAGCAACCAATCATGAAAGTTGGGGGGGTTCAACTCTAGATGCACAATCTCATTGGCTGCTGCTAAATCTTTAAAGCCCATTTTCTCAAAATGACTTTTCTCTCATACTCCCAAGTCCAAAATCTCCACTTCAGTAGCACCTATATACACCAAACTTTCCAGTCTTGCACCTGGTTATATTATTTAGACATTTACAGAGGGATTTGTAAATATATTAATCGTAGCGTGCTTTTATATAACATTTTATTCCAAAATCATTTTTAAAGCTATTGACAGTATATTCTGATTTACAGGATAACAAAAGTAGATATCCATAAATCCCTCTGTAATTTTAAGAAAGAACAGTATATGACGATACATGATAAACCAAAATGTATCGTTTGTTCAGAAGTGGGTGTAGTAAAGGAGTAAATTACGACAATTTGATACCCATGCAGACAAAATGATAATGACCATGATATTTTTTGTTAACTTCTCAGCTTAAGTGAACCATGGTATTAAGAAAAACTATAGAATAGTAAGAGCTGACGTCAGAAATACCAGTGATATCAAACCGGGTTTTTGAGACTGTCTTTGGTTCACTGCAGTTTAAAAGAGAAAATATTCAGCAATGGTGTTGACATGAATTTGCACATAATTTAGTCTCAAAGCATATTAAAAACACCACATAGACATAAACAACATTAAAAACTTGATTTTTCACCACAGGGTGACTTTTAAATAGTTTTGTCAATCAGTACTTTTGCTTAGTTTGTGCAAGACTGTAGACTAAACCATGACCGCATACAAAGTAGTCTGGCACTGCCGTTATCAACATTACTGCAGCAGGGTGGACGTGTTTGACACCACTAAAAATAGAAAACACTTTCCTACTGATAAAGACATGCGTACAGGTCTAATGCTGTCTTACCTTTTGCTGTCATTAGATTCATGGACTGTTAACCCATTGAAAAGCACATGCTAGACACATGATACGGGCTTGAGGTTCACCTGAAACTGACAGGTGTGGAGCGTTGCCATGGTGACAGGTTGATGTGTACAGTGAGGCCTCTAGGGGGCGGGACTGAGCAAAGAGCAAAGAGGACTAGCATCACAGATGACACAAAGACGCCTGTGTTCTCACAGGAGTGAGAAATGCTGGGTGGTTTACAGTATTGCATGTGTTGTGGTTTCAGGGCCAGTACACAATAATCTGTATTAGTCAAGAGAAGTAGTTTTGAAGAACTGTTCAGTTATGATACCGGATGATTCACACATGATTGTGAAAGCCTGTGCTGCTTTCAGGACTAAACGTGATTCTCTGATTGTTGATGTTTTAAAAGAGTTTATACATACGGGCTTCCAAAGTTACATTTTAATATTCATTAAATGTTTGAAACACAAAAGATGATATTTTGAACAATGTTTCAACCACTTTTGTCTATTCAATGAAAGTTAATGGTGTCCAAAGATCAACATTGGAAGTCTTTGGAAATTTTATTGTATAAACAAAAAAGGAAGCATTTTTAAATATCATATTGTATTTTCCACAAAAAAAGAGAGGTTTTGAATGATATGAGGGTGAGTAAAAGATGATAAGTTAGATTTTTCGGTTAACTGTCCCTTTTAAATTAGTTTAATGCATATACCTAATTTGACATCAAATGCATTCTGTTCTGTCAAGTTTCTAAAGACTGCTTTGTAGAAATTAAAGGAGAAATTAAAAATTATATATTGGTATTTGCAAAGATGTGCCATAACTAGTACTGTTGAGCAAACATTTGAACAAACTCCATCCTATTTTTTATGGGCAAATTTTCTAAATTTTAGGCATTATAGCCATTCGGCATTACAGTATAATTGAAAGCTATATATTTTTTTAAATATTTAGTAGGCTTTAAAAAAACGTTTAATTTAAGTGAACTTCAAACAATCAAACATATTGTAATCAATGTCACATTTAGCTGTCCTTCAATAAATCAGGGCATATTTCTTTTTTTATTTTGTCCCAGTCGGACCAGTTGATATTTTTACTTGCCCATATAACCTTGTTAACAGTGCTTTAAGTTTTTTTAGGTAGGTCTAACATGTAGGATATATATAAATTGAATTATCAAATAATGTGTAACAAGACAATGAATGACAAACAAAATGTATGCTGCTTTAATTGCAGTAAATATTTTTAGAGTTTATATATATATATATATAAATGTCAATGTAATCGATGACTTCAATTACAAAAATAAGTTGATTTGTGTGGCTTTTTTTTAAGAATGAACAAATTAATTAATAAATAGGCTTTTTTCCAAAAGTATTCTTCTGAGAGAGAGTGCGAGTCTTTGGCATGGGGTGACAATGACATCAGACACTGCAATTTACACAGTGAGGCACACATACACACACTCATACACACACACACACACACAAGGCCTCTCTCAGCCTGGATAATGCTCTTATAATGGGAGGCATTGTGTCACACCTGGTTTTGTGAGGACAGTGTTGGTGTCACGTTCACCCAGCCTGACTCCAGATCAGAGGTGAAAGAACATGGGGAAATGCAAAAAGAGAGGGATTGTCATTCTCAAGTACAGAGAGGAAACAAGATGTTTGCTGGATATTGAGGGCAATGTCAAATCACAACGCTGCAATCTGATTGGCTGCCTTTACGCAATTTCCATAGACAAGGGGCAGAGGTGTTTTTCAGTGTGGCAAAAAAAAAAAAAAAAAAACTTTTTTTGTTGTGTTCTGCTGAAGGAAGAAAGCTATACCGGTGTGGAACAAACCAAAGTTTCATAGCTGCTACTTTGAGTGCTTCTGAGGAATGAATAGTTTCCAAGAATCAAAGCTTCCAAGGAAGAGCTAGATTTTCCAAAGTCTTTCAGATGCATGTTGTTGAAGTTTCGAAAGATTTTAGTAACAAGAATTTATTCCGATTGACCTCCACCCTCAAACATCACATAACACTACACAGGTTTGCAGTTATGAAGGAAGTCTCTTATGATTACCTAAGCTGCATTTATTTATCGGAGAACATGTTAAAAACAGCAATTTTAAAAGTTTTCTATTTTAAAATGCAATTTATTTCTGTGATACAAAGCTGAATTTTCAGCATCATTACTCCAGTCTTCAGTGTCACATGATCTCTCAGAAATCATTCTGATACTGATTTGAACGTTTCTTATTATTATCAATGTTGAAAACCTTTTAACTGCTTAATATTTTTGCAGAAACCGCTATTCAAATTGATGAATTGAAAGTCCAGAAGAACATTTCTTTGAAATGGAAATCTTTTGCAACATTACAAATGTCTTTACTTTAACTTTTGATCAAATGAATGCGTCTTTGCTGAAGAAAAGTATTAATTTCTTACAAAAAAAAACATACTGACCCTAAACTTTTGAATGAT